CCCAATGGAATTCATGTTACTACGTAATATTCAAAGATCTACTCGATGCAATAATATGATTTGTCAATATGTAGAAGAATCAAAGCTGATTGGCGTAAGTAAATATTTCTTATGGACACTATGCAGTATATATGTATATATTTATGCATTATGTACATTGCAAAAATAGTGCAAAGCATTGCAAAGTAACTTCATGTATAGTAAGTTATTATAGTAATTAAAAATTAAATATTAGCTATTTTTGTAAAAATTTGTTTTAGTTTTATAATTACTTTTTACAATAAAATTACATAATACATAAATGCTCTATCAATAATATACACAGAATAGAAAGAATATGATTTTAATACAACTACAATTGTTAGGTTAAGGTGAAAAGAGTTGGTAGCTTGGCGGGAGATGCTAAATAAAATTCCCGACGTTGAAAACGCGGGTGGTCTGCATTTTTTAAAATTTAAATGAGGGCCATTTATTTTGTAATATGAGAAAATGGAATTTGAGCATAACTTGATGTGTAATTTTATATCCATCTTTATTACTATTCTCTTAGTGTTTGTCACATGTATTATTGTCTTCCAAAAACTAAAGTAAGAACTTATATCTATAAAAAAATTGTGACAATATTTTAAAGTGAAAGCTTCTATACTAATTATTCTTACAATCCTTTTCCTTTTTCATGTTAGGTTAAGATGGCCTATGAAGGTAAATTGCTGGTTTTGTAATAATAATACAAAAATAACACAACAAGAACTCGAATGGTGGTTATGTCCTTTCTGTGAACAGTTTAATGGTTTTTCTGAGGTAAATTTCCACTTATATAATAAATGTATTTAAATTCTAAAGTATCCACATTCTAATTTGAAATCCTTTTTTATGCTATATTCATTTCTTGGTTTTTGTTTTATAATCTTTTATGATATAGTTTATTTTCTTATACAAATTAACATCTAATTTATATCTAACATTTAACATTACATTAACATCTAACATTCAATTTTATAAAATATACCATCTCTATAATTTTAATAAAAATACTGTATAACTCATTACTTCATAAGTATAGAATTAAGTTAATGTTTTAACTATAATAAATCTAATAATTTCATAAATTGTATATTACATATTTTGAATTTTTGTTATTTGTTTTTAGAATGGTGATTATATGTACGATATACCAGAATTATATAAAGATTCTACTAATAACTCTGTAAAGTATTGTAGAAGTCAATCTAAAATGGAACTGTTCCACAAGAATACTCTTTGTAAAGAATGCAATAAGCATCAAAAAATTAAATTAGCAGAGCTTTCAAATTTTGAACCATCCAATGAAAAAAAATATGATCAAGAAGTTCAACGATTTAAACATTTTTTGGAAAAAAAATATCCACTTTGTACAAATTGTAATGCTATAGTACAAAATGTATTGGCTAAACAGACAATGTGGCTTGCTCATTATAAAATGTTGTTTCTTAAACAGAAACCTATACGTACATTTTTCAATGTAAGTGATATCATGATTTTTGGTTATAATAAAAGTTTATAAAAATGTTAGAGTTGCATAATCTTAATTTTAGTCTTGGTTTATCCAATTTCAGAACACAAAACGATTTGAAGTGATTTTTAGAATCATTTCAACAATTTTTGATTCAGTTACTGTATATAATACTGAATTTTTACTATTACCTGTCGGAGGATTATTTTTTCAATTATGTGCGTGCTGGACTAGTGCAGCAAAAAGAAGAAATTCTGATATTTTATTGTCCTTTTTATGGATTTGTATAATCATACTTATACCTTTTAAAGAATATAAATTACTAAAAACAAATCTTAAAAATAATTGGTTTTCTCTTGAATACATAACTCAATATCATATGGTATGTACTAAAAAGTTAGTATTTAGAAGTGTGTAAAGTATAGTAAAAAACAATAGAAAATCAAGTAGAAATTGTTTGTTTTTATATGATTATTATATTTTATTAGTAATCTTTTCAAAGTTTATAATATGTGTGTTTATAATATATATATATATATTATAAACACATATATATATATATATATTATTATTATTATATGTGTGTCATTTAAAATGTTTTAGGTCATCTTTTTTGCATTCATCATAGGCTTTATGAATATAAAACCTCAATCGAATATTAGATTAAAAAAAGATATTATCTTTAAAAAAATGGAAAAACATGTAAAAAATTCAAAAGCACAAATATTTCCTGAGATTGAAATAAAAAGAAACATACGGAAGTTTGTTAAAAAAGATGAAACAGATTCAAATGAAACTACTCATTCTTCAGTGAATATGACAAAATATTTTATGACTCCTGTTTCAATTGACATTCCTGATACTGTTAATACAACAATGCATGCATTGTCGTCAATGTATGTATTTTATTCAAATTTAATTCAATTTAAGTATAAATACTTTAAGATATTAATTTATATTTTTTTGGCTTTATAGGACTGGTCCAGAATTTCCAAAATTATCGACACCTACAAATAATTTAGATATTCGTTCTACCTTATCATTCAAAAGTAATCAATTTGATAACTCTGGATTAGATGACAGCATGAGTACGCTCAGTATATTTTCATTGGACGATAATTTACCGAATTGTCAAATAAGAACACCCAAAATGTTTGAAAAAAAAGTCTATAGTACAGTTAGTTCTGATTTATTTAAAAGATCAAATAATACCTTCGGTAAAAAGAATATTTTATCACCACCTAAATTAAAATCAGTAACACAAACATCATGGGTTGCTGGTGGATATTGGCAAGGAGGTATGGATGCACCATCATTATCAAGGTCATCCAGTCAAAGTTCTGGTTTTGGTTCTGTTGGCTCTAACTGTGCTCCTTCCAGAGAACCCTCTATTCACGAATTTGATCAATGTTCAATTATCTCGGATGCATCATTGTCATATTATGGTCACAAACAAAATACTATAAAATCCGTTAGACGTTTTTGTCAGCCTACTCAATCATGTTCTTTCATAAAACCGAAAAGTTCAATGTGCCATCAAACATTGAAATTCTCACATTCATTTCCTCAACAAACGTTAACAGCGCATTTTCCAAAGAATAATACAATTTTTGATGAATGTTGCTCACAACATTCCAAAATAAGCACAGATGAAATAGGAAATTCAATGAATATACAAACTTATCCAACTTACACAACAGTATCAACCAATCCTATCTGGTTACATGCATTGTTATGTGGTTCACTTATATTAAATATGGTTGTGGTGTGTACCACTTTGTTGCGTTGAAAAGTATTGATAGCCAAAACGTATTTTTTTTTGTTTTACTTTTTTTCACAATTACCTCTGACTACAATATGTGATTTCTCTGTTTGCTGTCTATAGATAACATTACATATACTGCCAATATATCACAACGTATTATTAAGAACCTCGTAATTATCTAAATAAACATATAAGAAATGTTGCTGTACAGAGTACGATTTGGAATATGTAATCAAAGTACTGTTTTTATACATGCAATGATATGTATGCGTTTGATATAAAAACAATTTTGATACATCTATAAATCATGAAATTTGTGATAAAAACAATATGTGTTCAATCAAGATATTAGGAATAGAAATTGCTGCGTTTACTTCGCTCTAAGGATTTTCTGTTTTTATCTTACAATATTGACTTATTTGAATATGCATGTATATTTATAAAAAGAATGTTCAATATATGCAGCAATCACATACATTTATTTTCAATAATAACTAATATAGTACTTGTTTTTGATAAAAGAAAAGATTTATCTTCTGATATGTTTTAGAAGTAAACAAAATATGAAAATATTTATAATTCCATTGTGTGCAACACTTTTGTAAACTGCCAAAGATTATATTTTCTTTTACTCGATTTCATATTTTTTATAAATTTAGAATGCATTACAGATTAAAATTTAGTTTCCAAACATTCGTATACCTTCTTTTGTGTACTAAAGCTTAGTATTTCAATCAGAAATGTAAATTATAATAATATTTTAGTTAAATGAAACTTTTATTAAAGAGAAAATATGCTTTCGTAATAAGGGAAACATTAAAAGAAGTAACATGAAATAAAAAACTGTAAAATGTGAGAAAAGGAGAGAAGGGAGAAAGAATACAAGGAAAGAAAAAGGGGGTGAGGAAACACGATAAGTAGGATGATGAAGAGAGCTGATAGAAAAAGTAATCCCGAACGAAGCGAGAGGAAAAAAAGATGAAGGAAGAAAAGGGAAAAAAGATTAAGGAAGAAAAAGAAAAAAGGACGAAAAAAGAAAAGATAAGAACAATAAATTGAGGGAAGGAGAATAGAAGAATTAAAGAAATGAAATAATAAGAATAAAAATGAGTTATAGAATGTATCATAAATAAATAAATTACGAAACATAATTCATAATGTTGACCTTCCCATATTGTATATACGTATTGTATAAATAAATATGAGAAAAAATGAATCCGTAGTAATGTGGTAATGATACGGTACGCGGTTAAAATAGATGTAAGTTTAATTAGTTTGTAAGTAGAATATTATTTTAAGATTCTTATAACCTTAAGGGGAAGCAATAAAATAAAAATAAAATAAAAGTACTATTATTATATATAACCAAATATACAAATTTAATTAATTTTTGTATTAACTAATTAATAAGATACTACAAATTGAATAATTCCCAAATAATAATAAATATATTTATAATATGAAGTATTATCTTTGAAAAGTATGGTACAAAGAAAATATCTTAGAAGATGTAACGATTTTAATTTACAGTTTTACTATTTGAACTTTTAAAAGTAATTGGATAACTATTTAAATAATCATCAATATGGCCAAGGTTACTTAAATATGGTACATTCGTGTTCACTTGTTGTTTAAGAATCTTTAGAAACAATTAGTAATACATATGTACATACATACTACTTATTAACCATAATCACTGGAAGTTAATTATTTTATCACTTTAGAAAAATAAAACTTACTTTCTCTTTATAAGTGAAACATCATAAGTTTTGCACTCATTTCTCCATCAGCAGAATTGTATTGCTTCATTTGAAGTACTGTCCCACCAAACATAATGCATCCTTTATACCAATTTTTGTTAAATTTCCGAAATCTTTTGTTAAATCTTGTTCTGGTAACTATCCATTTTTCCTTCAATTGTTTTGTTTTATATAATTTTATTACTTAATAACTATGTTTCTTAAATGAAGTGTTATATAACAAATTAGCATCCTCAAGTAGACATACTTGATAATTAATGCTTTGCGTCAGATATTCACATAATATTACCTTATATTGTAAATTCTTAAATTTGATTTTTGTAACTGCATAGGAATTCTATAGTTTAAATCATGTGTGGTCATGTTTTTGTAATGTGACTTTCCATGGTGATTTATTAATGTACTTCTAAATAAACCTTTTTTATATAAAAAATTATTCAATTAAAATATTTAAGTACATCTTTATAGTACTTTATATTCGTATTAAAATATACAGCATTAAAGAGAAGGTTAGGCTTAATAATAAATACATTTATTATTAACATTTATAATATATGACTTACCTCATTTATGATTTTATTATCCCAAAATGGTATTTAATCTTTTTTGTATATGTTGATATCATAAGATTTATAATGTTGCTTATATATTGTTTGTATGTGTGTTATCCACTTATTAAAGAAAGGTATGTAAGATGCGCGACGATTAAACCAATTTCCTATTAAAACTTTGGGATCATACTTTTCTTCACTCACTATAGGCGCACGATCGAATTCGTTTTGCTTATTACTCAATTTTATAGGTAGGTCGGTTAATGATAAATTTATTGAATGCTTCAAGTTACTGCTTAGTACGGGCATCTTAATTGAATGTAATACTAATTATTTTTATATTAATTATAATCATAATATCAATACCATTAATAATGCAGATTATGATAATGACAACGATATTTAACAATAAGCGATATCAAAATACCCTAATGTACATTAGACATTCAAAAATATAAGTAAATTTAGAATTATATTTGTTATGACATTTTAAATAAATAGTCATGAGTATGATAATTTTATGGAATTTTAATGTAAATAATAATAATAATAATAATAATAATAATAATAATAATAATAATAATAATAATAATAATAATAATAATAATAATAATAATAATAATAATAATAATAATAATAATAATAATAATAATAATAATAATAATAATAATAATAATAATAATAATAATAATAATAATAATAATAATAATAATAATAATAATAATAATAATAATAATAATAATAATAATAATAATAATAATAATAATAATAATAATAATAATAATAATAATAATAATAATAATAATAATAATAATAATAATAATAATAATAATAATAATAATAATAATAATAATAATAATAATAATAATAATAATAATAATAATAATAATAATAACAATAATAATAATAATAATAATAATAATAATAATAATACTTTTTAGGAATACTCAGAATTAAATACAAATATGTATTACGATTTATATTATCTTGTTTCTAAAGCCTCTCTACATCTTGCACACGAATCTATAGCTAATTATTTTGAAATTATAATGCTTCATATTATAATCCATGAAACTGTTTGAGATGAGGTAGATCTAAACGACGTATATATAAATTTAGAAATCATTTTAAAATAAATGGCTAAAATGTAATGATAATATAAGTATCTGATTTCAGATTTAATATAATTAATATCGTAACATCGAATATTATGGTAAATTTTAACGGTATGTTATAATACTTTCACGTTTTTAGTTTCCTTTTTAATGTAATTTATCAAAATAAACGTTCATTCAAAGATGAAAATAAAGCAATAGTATTTAAAATTAAATTATTTTTCTTTTTTATATGGCAAGAATATTATAAAAAATTTTTTTAAATGTTCACATACGATGTGTATTCGAGGGCGCAGACAGATTAAAATGTTAGAGCAGGAAAGAAATTGGTAGGACAGACCATAAATTTATAAAATGTTTAACCTATTGTTTGAATTAAAACTATTTTTTGAATTAAACAACTACATTTTTTAAAAACATGCAAAAAAGCTACAAAAGCAGGCTTCCTCCTTTCTGGTTGCGCCCCTGAATATATTACTAATTATTAGGTGGACCGGAAAGTAATGTTGCTTTCTTAAATTAAACTCAAACGAATAAATTTTTAACAAGTTTTTAATCACAATCAAATCACAATCAAATCACAATCAAATATCGACATGCGCAGAAACGACATTACTTTCCGGTCCCCATAATATAATAACTATTAAAATAGTGAAACATAATTTTATTACTCATTTGTTTATTTTCTTTCACATTTGCATTGCTCCATTTATAAAGATGCAGCTATAGATCAACCTCCTCTTTAACAGTAATAGGCTATGCTTATGTATAATTGCCAATTTGTATACATAATTTTATGAAAATTTAATCATTTTAGACACCAATTACACTTAATTATATGATGAAAAATTATATCAATTGCATTGACAATTTTATTATTTATTACAACTTTTCAACTGATTTACTAAATTTTCATTTAACAATCCTTTGAACTTGTTTGTTCGTTTAATTAAATATTGAAATATTTCATTAAAATAATTAGTAAAAATATGAAATATATTTTTTAAATATTTACGGGTAAAATAACTGAAGTGTTATAAAATAACTTGATTCATAATAGAAATCATAACGGATATAGCAATATTTCTGTTATTTTTTATATAACATACTTTTACATGTAAATGCAATATTATATAACACTCAGTTTGTAATAAGTAACAATATTTGAATACAGCAATACGGGCACTTATTCCAGTTATAGACTATTTATTTAGGTATATTTAAATTAATTTTCAATAGTGAATATCTTCATAAACCAAGATTGTTTCTTAATTTTTTTTTAAGATGTAGTCGATTGAAAATTATAATTACATTGTGCATCGCAAAAAAATAAAAAAGAATATAAAAATATTCTATCTTAATAAGAGATATAATATTGCAGAATAACGTATAGTAATGTGAGCAATCATATGATTTTCTTTAGCCAATGCTCATTTTAGCTACATTAAAAGAAAATAGATTCATTTTCAGTCGTCCCTTAAAGGAATTATTTTATAATTTACGATGCTATACCCTTTACATCTCATTGGAACATATATCCATTTTATTTTGAATGCAGTACCATAAAGCTTACGATTATTAGTATTAGTTAATTGTAGTCTGTGTACATTCTACAATGATTCTTTATTTCTATACGGAAGTGCAAAAGAGCATTGATGCTTATTCGATGTTCTATAAAAATAAATGTTACAGTATGCTGAGATTTTATGTCACGATTCATTAGTTAAGAAAAATACATGAATCATGATAAAAACTCAGCAATGATTCTTTTTTTTTTATAATAATGAAGGGAACCCAACAGCTTTTTTTATAAATTTTAAATAACAGAGTATTAACACATAAAGCATTTCTGGTGATTAATACATATGTATGTTAGGTTTTTCAATTATTTGTAAGCAATATACCATGGATACTAATATTTATATTTAAATCAATACAAAGACATTCAAGTGCAGTTATATTTATATATATTTGACAAGAATATTTTAAAAATAATTGCACTCATTCTACACTCCAAATTCGTCTTTACTATATTGACAAATATAATTTTGCTGCTCATATTACAAAAATAAGATAACGTAAGGAAACAGACTGCTCTATGAAAGAATTTTGAAAAATAAAATAAAATAGTTAACTTTATTTTACCTAATAAAAGTTTATCGATATGGAACAATATTTTATAGATAATTTTATAAAGTATACTGTATTACATTCAATAGAGGAAAAAAAAATTTATTTTTAATTTAATATGCAAAATTTGTAAATTATATTTACTACACACGGCTTCAATATTTATATATGTATCCCAATTATAAAAAATATTATTCAAACGCTATTTCCAATATGAAAACAATAACTTTTAAATGACATGTGATTGTAAGTTTGTCACAGTTTGCAAGAAGTTTTAAGAATGTAAATACATTTTATTTTTAAAATCCAAATTACCTAAAACTACAATTTCAAAATTAGTTTCTACATGAAAGATTTTAAAAACGTTAAATATTTAATATATTTGCACAGAATGTAAAATAATTGTTTGACAAACAGCTTTGATTTGTCTTTAATATAAATTAGAATACAAAATAAATTAATATAAATGAAACCATTAGCAATATATTTAATGTGGCGACAATTGGTTATATAAAAGTAATATATGTAAATTGAAGTGAAGATGATTACTTTTTGTCTACATTTTTTCTATAAATATCATTCGCTTCTAGATTTACAATTTTATTGGTAAGAAACCAATGCACTTAACTCTCGCTAAGTGGGCACACCAAATAGGTCCAAGATTTGATATGATTCTTGACAATTGTAATCTTCAGTAACTACAAAGGAAGTTTTTTATAACTAAGAATACTTATAAGCCATGATTATTTCTACCATTCTTTTCAAGGCCGCATATCCGATCATATCTTTTAATTGAATTAATAACATTTTGTTTCCAAGTTTAATAGTACCATCCAAAACATTCGATTTTGAATGCATTTATCATAAGTTTAATGACACTTGATATTACAAATAAAGTCCATGGTAGACCGGATGTTGTAACGATAACAATCGCATAGTATTATTGTTATTATTATTATTATTATTATTATCATTATTATTCCTATTATTTTTATTATTATTATTATTATTATTATTATTATTATTATTATTATTATTATTCTATTTTTAATTCTTTGAAAAAAATTATGCTATGTAGTCACAGAAGAACGAAGCTATTTTAATAAGATTGTGTTATGTAATTGAGAAAGTATTGAGAATATTTACGGTATTTTTTATAAGTGCAATTGAGTTAAATATTTATACATGGATGGGACATGCAGCGCATTGATAATTTGATGCACTCATATTAGTATACTTTTAAGCACATGCTCGTTTCTACAAAAAAAAGAAGTGGCGGTGCTATTTAAGATTATAATACATCTATTGCCTTTAAAATATAACATTTATGTGAATACATCATAGATTAGTTTGTTTCGATCTCCTAGCACCTCAGCACGCAAATTGTTCTTGCGATCGTGTTCTGTAAAAGTGAAGGTTTTGACGTTATACTCAACATTACTATACGTTTTTAGCCACGTTCAAAAAAAAAAAAAAAAAAAAAAAAAAAAGCCTGAGCATATGACAGAGATATATGAATTATTTTTTCCCTTAAAATTTACATCATATGTCCGAACGATGACAGAATTAGGAGTAAGTATTACATTTGGTTTTAGGAAGGGGGGAGAAAAAGTAAAGAAATATAAAGAACTAACATGTCGCTAGGTTTGTTCGTTTGTAATCTCAACAAAAGTATTCTGACGAAAGTATAAGCTTTAATACCTCTGTCAATTCGTAACACAAGTATCATTTTAAAATAGTGAAAATAGAGTTACAAAATTGTTAGCATATCAAATCTTCTCACTTACTCCAAAATGTAGAGCAGCCTGAAGTGACTCCATTTGTACAAAATCGAACAAACCCACATTTCCCAATCACATTGTAGTATCTTAATTAAGCGCATCTAAAACAAAAAAGTAATAAAATGAATTTTCATTCTACTGTATAATTTATTTCATATAGATGGTTTATTGCTTACCACGGTTGCCGGTTCTAATAGCATTAACGTTGCTTAAATGATGCTGACCAGCTCGAATAGGCTTTGCAATCTGTGCACTAGGTCCACGGCGAGCCAAATTTTTCTGTCTGACAGCTTCTTTAATCCTATCTACTTCATATTGGTAACGCTTACGATCTCGCATTGCACCTTCTTTGGCATCTCGCAAAGCTGTTTCCAAAGCTTTTACACGTTCAACGGTTGTCCTTAATTTCTTTTCAAGTTTAGGTAATTCACATCGAAGATCCGCATTATCTCTAACTAATTGTTTGT